AACGGCCAACGACACAGAATACCGCGGGTTATCCGGTGCAGCGATATCGACCACGGAAATCCAGCAGGTTCGTTGCATATATGCATCTTCGAACGGCGGCATCTCGCGCCAGTCGACCAGCGTAGGTGAAGTTCAAACAGCAAAGCCGTGGTTGTAGTCCCCGCGAAACTCGGTCGATTTACATATGTATAGTTTCGCGTGGTGGCGTCGCATCGATTCCGAACGCTGTGCGCCGCTTTCTTGCCGCGACTATAACCAGGTGCAGTTGCACTATCACAGCGCCGTTCGGTGCACTGCTCGCTGCACGCATGTATGTATACATATACATATAATACGCGCGTCACACGATTCGATAAATCACGTGTAGGTACGCTATCGCCGGTTGTAAACAGCTTGTAATCCAAGGAAGCTTTTGTCCGCGACTATACGATACGCTCGTATCGTGACCCGATAATGACGACGATATTTGTATAAGGAAATCCGTTTAAGGTGTTATATTACGATTTTAATTCTCTTTTATTATTTGGAAATTCAACGTTTGCCAGAACGGTGAAGAAATGTTTGTAGAAAATAAGGGTAACTATCTTGAATAAGGGATGGTTGAAGTGAATGTTCGATATTAATTCTTTACAGTAAAGCATCGATTAGTGTTCCAAGGCTTTTCGGTAGGAACATTAAATATTTCATAAATTAATGATCATATGCGGCTGAAATAAATACCATTGGTTTCAGAATTCCATGCTTTACCACTGTACTAAACGTTATTAAAAAGTCAGCGTTACACCTGGGGACCTCTGGTTATCAGTGCCCAGGAGTTTTCTTTCTCTCCTTCAATTTCGTATTTTCTGTTGAACGTTCTATACTACGTGATAATCAAAAAGTAAAGCCACTTTTCCGTCAATACTTCCAAACATTTCACAGTCACTATAACTGTTCTTCTTTTTTATTTACAAACACTAAACACAGAGAATCGTCTGATACTCTGTAAGAAACCGTACGAAGTAATGGGTACAGAAGCTTCCGTGATGACTCTCTTTATCACGGAATAATCGAATAACAGATCACGTTGCCTTTTATACTATCGCAAAGAAACGACGACAGACCGGTCGGGCGTGACGGTTTTTTTCATCTCGTTTCATCTATTAGATATGCATAGTATACGCGAGCCCCCGCATAAGAATGCGGCGAGAGTTCAAGTGTATATCCGCGACCGAACGTTAACGAGCGACCAAGCGGCAGCGTGCTGATTAGTCATTGCATTACCACGCGCGGAAATAAATGATATTCAGCCGTTTCATGAATCACGGTGGCGCTGTTTCGCCGGGATACACATACCCACACACGTATAGTCCTTCAAAACCGTTCCTGGATTCAGGATCAGGGCACCCACGCCTATTTTCACGTGTGAATTCATTCAACTGATCGGATCCGATCCCCTCAAAGACTCACTTTGTATCGACCGGTGACGCGTATATGAACAGAATGAGAAATAGACAGCTGATAATCCAATTTAAACGTAATGGTATTTAATCGATCGATTGATTTTAATTTTAAGGACGTCGACCTGTGATACGTCGTTGGCTCAAATGGCACTTAACCCTTTCCGACCTGAATTATTTCTTTGAAACGAAGAAAAAATATTTTTTCACATACAGTTATTTCTTACGTGTACACATAATATATATTAATTAATACAAAGAAGAATCTTTGTAATAATACAATATTTATTTCGTTTACGTTTTTCCCATTCACAATTCAGATAACGATGCTTAGAAACAATTTTTCTCTCGCTGACACGATAGGGGGACACAGAAGAGTAAAGTATAATCGCGATAATAGTCTTAGAAAAATAATGCCTCAACAGGATTGGAGTCGACGGGTCAACGGTAACCCAGCCATCGGAATACACGAAGGTGTAGTGTCCATGTTACAGATTCTGTGGAACACCAAATCCCTATAAGACCAGTGTTCTTCTATCATATACATCGACGGTGGCGTTACGTAATACGGCTGGCACAATTACCGGTCGGTAGACAACGTTATGGTCACCGTATATGGGAAACGAACTCGTGACACAAATCTCGATTACGCCCGTGTGCGACGAAGTGACTCGCGGCCTCACCTTCGTCGTCTTCGGTTCTGCACGTCACCCCGCGTGTCGTCTTGAGAACGCGCAACAGCTTACCCGAGCATTTCCACAGCGTCGCGACTTTAATCTTCTTATGGATCGTATCGAGAACAAGAATACGATACGAACGATACGTCTACTAGAAGAAAGAATTTTCAGGTACACGGAATGATAAAGAAAAAAGGGTCTAAGGCTCATAGTACTCATTGAGGGGAGGACAAAAATGAGCAGTATACAGTAAATTTTCGATTAATGTTCTAAACTCGGGTCTGCTTTGAAACAGCTATAAAGGAACACTAATTCCACATAAATTTCAGGCTTAGTTTCAGAAGCTTGCTTTTGTATTTTGCTGGTGGCCGACAGAGATTAAAAACAGTAGTGGGGATGAAGTGGAAGCATTTAACGTAGAGATTCTTCCGGGCATTTATCGAGAATTTACTGTATATGTCCTAAAATTAATCTTTTCGGTGTAAAATTAACTTCGTATTGACGAGCGTTCGATATCGTAAGTGAGCTTCTCATTGAATGTGAACAGAAATATTTGGTTTAAAGGTACATTAATTCAGGATTGTATAACAAACGGGCGATTGAGTATTTTGAAAATATATGTCGATCTATGTTCCGTACATGTCAGTTTTGTATTGAAATGAAAGGTAGATACATTGAACATAATGTGGAAACAATCTTTTATGTTTTTCTTTGAAAGGATTGATTTTACGACGTATGTTGATTAAACAGTTTTTTTTACTCTTTTTGGTGAGTATTGTAAACTCTTAGATCCTTTGTTTTTTGTCAACTTGTATATCGTTAGACAGAAGTGTTTATACATTCTTACTCGTTCGTTTTATTAACTCACTGCGAAAATACAGTGACATTTGTTCTATGTACATGCGTTTAGTTTTGTTGCAATCAAGGTAAAATAAAAATACAAATTTGGTATGTATTTACCTAATGATTGGACTGTGGATATTTATGCACATATCTATAGATTTTCATGGAGTAATTCGAAGAAGGTTTATTACAGGATTTGTCTGATTCTAAATGAAACGAAAGCCTCTTTAAACATCGTTTTACACGATTAGGATTTAAGTAATCGTGTTAGTGATAAATGCAGAAAATCCACCATCGAATAATGATGCCCGATTAAAGAAGGTTGTTGGTCATAAAACAGCTTGTATAATCTTGAATAATGGCTCTTTTTGTTTCAAGAATGTCGTAACCATATAATAAAACTAGAGAGTAAAAACTCTAGTAGTTAAACCCTGCTATGATGATTTTACCCGTAGAAGATTGATCTAAAGTGTTAAAATTAAATTCTAGGTTAATTATGATTATCATACTGCAGATAATATTAACCCCCGTAGGGGAAGAAATTTTAGCACACTGTGGAGTCATTTGACTTGAAAAACTGGCTAAATTTCGCTGCGAATCGTCTGAAAATAATACGTAAATCTTCTTTTACAGTTACCTCAAACGCAGTCGCGATGATTTCCCCTCGATCTTCTCCCCGTTCCCTTCCGTTCTCCGGCTTGCACCGTTATCAGCTTTGCTTCGCAAAGGATGTTCGCGATAAGGAGCAGCGTCATTGACCGCTTGTCGTTGGCTCGAAACTCTTCTTCATCCCTACCATTCGCGATTTCCATATTTTCTCCACGGAGGAAGTGGTCGTTGGAAATATTTTCCTCGATCGTAACGCGTGTCTGAGCTCGCTGGATAAAACATAACGATCGTAATCGGGATAAGGGGCGATCTTTCAACCGTGAATATGGTTTATCATTATTTCACTTAACGCGTCGACGCGTGAATGTATGTATTCGAACGAGCCAATTACTCCCGTATTTTTTGCTCACGGTATTACGATTGTGTTCGATCGATCCTGCGGTAGATATGTGTTTGATAGTGATTGCTGTGAACTGGAAAAGAATGATTCGTGGAGAATCGAGATCAGATGTTTGTGATCGATGTAAAAGGCACTGAACAATCACCCGATCGAATTGATATCCTGAAAGGTGAAGAGTCATCGAGAAATCTAGTGAAAGATACGCAAGCTCATTAATCTTGCCTAAGTCTCCAACTATCGATAATTAATCATTGGTACATTAATCGCTTCGTCACTATCGATTTCTCTAATAATTAAAATTTCTTTATGTTGTGTAAGTACAATCACGTTTTCCGAGATGATCTTCGAGGTGATGTCTGTTTGATAAATATTTATTAGACACAACGAAGTCAAGGTACATTCGCATCGCTTGGAACTAGCGATAGAATTTACGATCGTTTCATTGGATGACGACTTTTTCTTATCCTCTTCCTTCGCTATACATCATCCATTAGGGGAGACTCGTAACACGGGACGAATATAACTCATAAAACAAATGACAATCGACCAACAATTGTCTTCTTCCATTTTTATATAAAACTTTTATTTGGTGTTACATTATACTTATTATACTTATTTATGTTTATATCTATAGAATCAATAAAAATATCATTTAAAAGCATCTTTTCTATTAGTTGGCTTTTTTTTTTAAATTAGATACATTGTTACAATAGCCCCTAGGGGTATGAACAAAAGTAACAAATCATTTTTCCTGTAATCGTGTACGAATTTTTAAAAAACCTTACAAAATGTAAAAGTTACCGACTCGAGAAAAATTGTTACGTTTGTCCCCCTACTCTCATTACAAGATAGAGATGACCATACCGAAAACTACGTAGATTGGAATATTTTCCATATAGACCATATAGAAATTATTTTCTACCCGCGAAAAATACCATATGAAACTAAAACAGCATAAATTGACAGACCAGGTGTGTATTATCGTATAGTTTCTGTTGGTAAGAATTTCCTCCGTGGATGTTACAGACACATACCAAAGGCGAAAGCCACCACAATGGCGGAGACGCCCGAACTGAAGCGTATCGCGGAGAACACGAAGATCCAGAGCAACGTCAAGTACCACGCGGAGTTCGAGAAGGCGAAGGGTAAGTTCACCCAGGTGGCGGACGACCCGGAGACACTGAGGATCAAGCAGAACAGCAAGATCATCTCGAACGTCGCGTACCACGGCGAGCTCCAGAAGAAGGCGATCATGGAGCAGAAAAGGACGATGACCGGCGAGAATGGCGAACAAATTGGTGAGTCAAGCCCCTCTTCTCTTTCTTTTCCCCTCCATCTCCTGGTCCTCACCCGTCTCTGACGTGAACGCACTTCTTTGTCGTTTCAATGTTTGCATCCATTCTGGCGCACTGGGTGAACGGGACCATTGAGACATTCACGATCTGTTGCTGAACGTGCTCTAGATGACACGGGTGTATCCATAGTGATGTGTTTACCCTACGTGTCGATCCTTTTCGTCGAATTGTTCGCGAGATCTTCAGACTGCTCACGTTCACGTGGAAAACACGGGTTTTGGAATTTACTACTTTTGCGGAAATTTTATGGAATCTTGATATCTGGTTTTTATTCTACTGATTCGTGGGACCCAGGTGTCGGGATTAACACTAGAACTGCCGACGAGAAACGTATATTTGTTTCTATGGGATCGATATAGAAATTTTTATAAGTCAATATATATTCTGCATTTATATATTGCAATAGACGTTGTAAAAGATCTGAGAAAACCGGAATCTTGTTACGTTTTAATTATCGTTGTAAGAGTACAGTAATGTCTCGATAAACGTTTCTTGTGCTTTAATCCCACTACTGGTGTGTTTTATGTTGAATCCAGTCAAGCTGGACGAATTTATGACGTGTAGAAATAGTGTCCCTCTACGATAACTGTTCCAAATCTGTTCCCAGTTTCGAGCATTAATAGAATATTTACTGTATACTAAAATTTTACATTTTGACGGCGTTGGTAGTTCCAGTGTTAACGGAGAAATTGGTTTGCCATAAATGAATGTGCAAATAATTTATATACCTGGTGATTCCATAAATTTGATTAAATCGTAATATCTTATTTTTTCATAAACTTTAAAACCTGGTGTCAGTTTCTTTTATTGTTAATACCATAAACGGTGAACTTTACAGTCTAGACATCGCGCAGAACCGCTTGCTTATGCTTATCGTGTTAATACATGCACGGGGTGTGGTGAAAATTGTGGTACAATTGTGTTCACAAAGGTCAGCGGTTTGTCGCGTGTATCTGGAGCAGCTTCTATCGAAAAAGAAACTTCATGCAAGGTGTGTGTGCACTCTCGGAACAACTGAGCCTACTTTCCGCGAGGGACTGGCTTGTATCACGATTTTTGCTGTACTTTTACGTATTGTGCTCTATCATAAATTAATTGCTGCTGCAGTTGTTACGCGCAAGGAATTCAAACGCGGTGACCGTGAAGCGTTCTCAGTCAAAAGTAATACAAAGTGGCAACATTATACCTATATTATCGTTAACAGTACCATCGAGAAAGGAAGTTGCGCGCAAATTCACCACTTCTATCGCGATTTATTTGAATTTTTCACACTAAAGTTTTTCAATATTCCATCAAAGTATTATTTAATTAGAAGCATTCTTTAACCCTTTCATTACTAGCGGTTACTATAACCACCCAACGTCGAGCGTTTCTTGTCTCATAAAGATGACTACAGTCATCCTTCAAAATTGCGAAATTAGTTAAGTATTCATTTAAATTCAATTAATTTAATTAATTACACGCTTTAATTAAGCACATGTTACACTGTTTCCGGTAAAATGTAGTCGACTCAATGGGCCCGTACATCGGTAGCACAAAGGCGTAACCTCGCCGTAACGAAAGGGTTAATTACAACTTGTGAACGATGAACAATATCCTGTAAATTGCAACTTTAACTGTAAAGTCTCTCAACTCTTAAGAATATTTAACCTAGTAATAATGAACGGCTCATGCATTTAAGTTTCTGCATCAGATCTAGTATTAACCTTCATCCGGATAGAAAATCCTATGAGGTTCTTTTAATATTTCATAATGAACAATACAATAATATACACAATAAATACCTAAAAATTTAATATTACCATTTTACTAAGAAAATAAACTGAACTAAAAGAAGTAAATTATTTCAAACATATTAATTTCAGTTATTCTATACTGAGAGCTTCTCCATTCTATCCTGACGAAGGTTAACCAACAATCAAACAACCCTAGAAACTCTAACTAACAAAAGTAACTTCTACAAAATCTTTTGCACGTTATCAACTTTTAACAAAAACGATCCTTCTTCGATTTCCTCGGTACAGATGCTCGATAAATGCAGTACGAATGCCTCTCTAGTCGGTCTATCGATGCTATATAGTTGCTATCCGTAGTCGTTCCCCAAAACTATTCTAAATCTCTCGTAAAAGTGTGTCGCCCAGAGTTGAATACAACTCCCAGGGCGTGGATCGTCGTCGAACGCACCACCTATCCGCAGCTTGTGCTTTGTTGGATATAGAGTACGTAGAGTTTACGGACGGTACGATCGCGCCAGCATCGGGCGTGAACGCGAACAATCCGCAGGCCGCGAGAAGCGCGGGCTCGCCGGTGCAAAGGACACCAGGTAGGATCGCCGATTACGATCCCCTTAGCGAGGCAAGACCCAGCCCCTATTCCGCCAGACAAGCGGCCACCACTGTGATTTATACGAGCGACAAGGGACCAGGTGAGTTCTCGCCGATTTTACAGGCTAGATCCCCCGAGTACACTGACGTGCAAACTCGGCTTCCTCTACGGGAAAAAGTAATGTTAGAAGAATGATAAATGTAACGATAAGGAGAATATCTAAATGGAAAATTGTATAAAAGTTTTGACACGTAATTGTTATTTCAGAAGTATGTGAACAAATGTGCGATACACTGTAGGTGTCCTCCTTCGATTTTTTTATATGCAAAAACGAAAAAAATGGAAGGAGAGCATCTACCTAAGGTATCTCCTGAGTAGAAGTTACCCCAACTTGCGGTATAATGATAGGAACAATTACACGAAGCTCATTTAGAGATGTTTATTCTGATAAAATGGAGCATCACTGAACTTAGGTATATAGATACACACTTTCGGCCGCTCCTGTTGTAACGTCAATTATTTACCCTGCCCCCGCGATAAAATTTATCGAGCCGACCCAACAAACGTCGGATGTTGCGCCTCTAATTCCCGCCGTGTGAGCATTGTCTCGTATCATTTAATTCCTGTGTGTGCAGTAAATATAATCGGGAAAGTTGTTTTGTGGTTAACGGTGGCTGGTCAGAGAGTGTATTTTTTGTTTCATGTGAAATGTGTTCCGCATATATATATATATATATATTTTTTTTTTCCATTCTGCACTCACCGCTTCCGTGGCGTGTTATCCACCATTTTGTTGTACTTCAGCCCGTGACACTTCGTTGAACACGGTTTCGAACCTGCTGACGCGATTCTCCAGAGATTGTTAACCATATCGATCGGTTTTTCATGATTGATTTCGATGTATGTAAACGTGGCGTATCGATGTTATTCTTGTATTTAATGAGACGAAACGTTCTAGTGACGAATCCACCTACCAGAAAGATCGGCTCGGTTGCGGACATAGACCCTGTGAACGAGTATTACGGATCGCTGACGCCCGCCACGAATAACAACCACGTTCCACAACATCAACCGCCGCCACCTCCACCCACTCAAGGGGTAAGTTCCTTAAATCCAAAACTTTCTTCCCTTTATATAAAAGAACACTAAAAAAGACGGATGTAGGTATAAGAAACAAAAATCATCTAGAACACTCATCGAGAATTTACTGTATCACGTCTTTATTCTTCATCGTAAATCACGACCGATCGATTGATGGTCCTTTCGTTTTCCAGAGAGTATACAGAGCGATGTACGACTACGAGGCCCAGGATCTCGACGAAGTGAGCTTCTGCGACGGCGATCTGATCGTGAACTGCACGGCCATCGACGAGGGCTGGATGACCGGTCTGGTACAGCGTACAGGCCTGCACGGCATGCTGCCCGCGAACTACGTCGAGCCGGCTCAGATTTAACGAACAAAAAAAAAAGAAAAGAACAAAAGAAAAGAAGAAAAAAGCTTTCTTCGCGTGTTACGTGTCCTCGTCGTCTTCGTTTCCACCCTTCCCTGCGGTGGTCAAGGGCACTCGATTAAAACAGAAAAAAAAAAAATGGCAAAAGCAAATGACAAAAGTGGCGCGGACCTGCAGAGACGGACAGTGAACGACGGATCGGAGAGGGTTTAAAATCGTCGTGAAAAAGCTCTCTGGGAAAGGAAGAAACAGCGAAGGAAGCGTCCTTTTTTTTTTTTTTCTAAACGACCGATCTTCTTTCCTGTTGCTCGACGTTGTTCTTTTGAACCTTCGATAACCACTACGAAGTGCGTGGAATGATCGTAAATACGTCGTCTCGAGGAGGCACGACAAAGATCTCTCGGTTTTCGCGTCGAGTAGAGATGTAAGAGCAAGAGAGATCGGATATACAAAAGAAATAGTCCGAGACTAGCCGCGTGTCGCTGTGCGTTGTTTTCGATCGAATCGTCGAGCCTCCTTCTCTTCGACTGGGCACAACGACGAACTTGAAACGGGATCGAAAACTGTTTTCCGCGCTACGGAATTGTGTTTACGAGCGAAATCAATTCACAGGTCGATCAAATCGTTCCCTTGTATGGTACACTCCGGTAGCCGAGTGCCTGTATCGTTTTTTCTTTTTTTTTTTTTTTGCATTTAAGTCAGCGGAGACTACGAAGTAATATTCCACGTTGGGACCAAATTCTTACTCGTCCTTCGTCGACGAGTAACACCTCAGAGTGCCTTTCGCTAACAGTAATATTAATATTAATACGAGGAGAACCGATCAAACTTGAGGCACCTGCATTGTTTCTTACAGTTTCTCATATAGCGAGCTTTGTTGAAATCATTCCGTTGCTTCGAGGATTCCATTCTTACATTTCTTCTGTTTTTTTTTCCTTGTAAGGACGAGTTATAACGTGACCGACAAACACCAGAATACCGAACGGTTACTGGTGTATATATCAAAGAATATCTATTTGTTTCCTTTTCTTTCCATTGACATCGTTTTAGGTTTTTTAAAGATACATATATTCTCGGTTGAATGGAATTGTTTTTATGTATTCTGCATGCGGTGTCGTGTCGATGATTCACGTTTTTAGGTGATTACCGTCCCCGCTCAGTCCTTTGTCCATCCTCGCATGCGTTGCTTACGCGTCTGCTCGGAGAACGAACGTTCGTGTTTGTCGACGTTCAGCGGAAAATTGCTATTTATTCACGGGGTTAGATAATGTTTCGAATGTTATCGTTGTCGAGAGGAAACCTCCAAGACACGAACGCTACGCCGCTACCACCCGTTCATTGTGATCTAAGAGGAACAACGATGTGCCTTATCTATACGTAGACCTCTAATTGGGGCGATCGAACGCGAGGCGCCCGGCGTCACGATCTAGGCGAGGAGAGATCGATCAAGAACGAAGATAAAAAGTTCACGAGCAATGTATGTTCGTTGAATGTGTCGCGCCGCGAGTTGAACAATTTCAGCACCTACTTTTCATATTTTTTTTTTTTATAGAAATATATTTTTCGAATGTGAAATCTAGTTAGGTTAACGATGAATATAATAATATTGTTGATACGAGAGTTTTTTTCGTTACACTTGCCTTGGTCGATTCGATGCACGAAAGAAAGTAACTTTTTTTTTTTTTTTTTTTTTTTTTTTGACTAATTAACGACATTAACCAGCATTTACCTAATAGCTGTTAAGTTTTATCACGCGAGATACGCCTGTATCGATATGCTTATTCAGCTTTCTAGAATCCTTTCGGCGTTGGACGATGCGATTCTCGAGAGTTCTCGCGGTGGGGAAGAGTATCGATTTACATTCGTATCGTTGTTTGTGAGATTAGAAATGTATATAATTCGTCGAGAAACGTGTGTCTTTCAATTGTATCTCAATAAGGAGTAAATTTTGTATCGGAAAATTTACTCTAGATTGTCGAATTAAGAAGTTAAGAATCTGAATATAAGGATCGAAACGATAAGAAATCGTTTCTATGGTCCGTAGAATTATAGAAAGTGAATTAAATAACGCCTGCAATGAAATTATTATGTAGTTAACAATTCGGACTTTACGATGTCGTTTTACCAGGCGTTGAAATCACCAGAGCCATCTTCCTGGTGACAAGTGACGCCATCTTGTTGGCGATAAAATACCGAATATCTTCACGAATTTCTTTAACAGAACTTTGATTAACTTAAACGATACTTTTTATTACGAATATAACATATAAGAAAAAATGTTTCAATAAGAAACATTATGTAACTAAATCTAAGCGAAGAAAATGGCGTCATTCTTTACACTATCACCGAGTATAATTTCAACACACAAGTCTTTTCTTGTTTAAATTTTCTTACAATTTTATTTATCATAAAAGTTTCTTTAATTAAAGGGTATACTGTCGTATAAAGTATATATATTTAAGTAAATATTCTTAATTTCGTCACCTTCAAGATGGCGGAATAATCACTTGAAACTGAAACAATTCAATTACGTACTCCAAGAATTCTATCGTACTACGCAATTTGTACAGTTGATCGAAATACATGTTCCGCGCTCTTGGTCATTTCATTCGATCTTTCGTCGTAGTAATAAGGCAGCACCGAAAGGATTCGATCGCTTCCTCAGATATATTCCCGGATCACGGGATTCTCGGCGATGTCAGATCGTTCTCCGCGATGCCGTCGATCCTTAATAGATAGCTTTATACCCGTCTGATGTCCAGTTAAATGTACAGATAAATATAACGATCGAAGGAGATTCGTCGACGACGAGAAATATCGTGTCGCCATCGCGGAGTCCGTTTTCTGGCGGCCCTTCTCGTTGTCCATTTTCTGTTCTCTATAAGCCCTATTCAAGAAATCAATTACTATACCGCTCGAAATTCGCCCCCCCCCCCCCCCCCCCGAAAAACGTATTCACATTGCATTTTTTACCTGAATAGAAGAATAGAGAATTTATAACGATGTAAAGGAACTAAACCGGACAGCAATGTTTTTACGTGAGCACGGGGACGCCGCCCCCGTTCGACTTCGTGATACAGAGCGAGAAGATATATTCATATTTTTGGAAACGTGTTAACAATGATTTTTCTTTTTCTTTCTTTTTCGTAATTACTAGACCGCCGGATAAGGACGATCTACGATTATGTTTGAGAAACATACAGAAATATATATTAGTGTTGTTTAAAGCAGATAATATTATATTATGAAATGAGATCATAAACAATGAATATGTTATGTAAGTGTCGACTAATCATTACCGTCCCCATTTTCTCCTCGAGTGTTACATATGTATACTATTTATTAAGAGCATACTCATTGATGCTCGTCAACGAGTTTATCTTTATTTACCTCTTTACCGGAGGATAAGAACGAAATGAAAACAGCGTGAAATAAAAATAATTTCTAGCGGAACAGAAACTGCGATAGCTTCGACAACATAGTGTCGAATGAAACGATTCAGCCTTCAGGTATAAAAAATGCACATTTATTGAAAGTGATATAAGTACAGTAGAAGGGTAATTGTATAAAACTGAAGTCGCAGCAATCGGTGCGCGTTTTTAAATTCTGAGCTGGGTCCGTAGGGGACAGACTTGGGCAAAATTCGATTCTAATAAATGAACTATACGTTTAAATAAAATCGTAGATCAGTTAGAATAATAATTTATTTCACTACTCATTCGTTAAAGTACGCATTGAAAAAAGTCGTCGCGAGTGTTCGAACGCTGAAGCGATCGACTCGCGGAATTTGAAATTTTTTTTATTTAAAATGTGTACACTAATAATGCCCAACTCTGGTACACAGCCTCTCGCAATTAGCTGTTAACGGATAACGCGGCGAGAATTCGAAAAATTCAGCTATAGAAAAACGTTCAAGCTCGAAGCTTTATTTTTTATCTTATCAATTCGCTATCAATTATCACGATCGTTTCGCGCATTCTATATATTCTTCCACTCGTATCGTTCGTGGTTCAGTAACGTTTAGTAGTAATTTATCTAGTTAATAACGCTTCGATTGTGACGTTAAATAATTCAGAACGGTCGAAACGATTTTGCTTAAGCAACAGAATTTCCAAGCATTCGAGGTCCAAGCGTGTTTTACTTGCAAAATAATCGTTTGGCGAGAAGAAACGAGCAACAGAGATCGCGGAATGTAATCGTCGATAAACAACAGCGAACTTAAAAATATGAATAACTTGTAACGATGGATCGCCGTTGCTTGATCGCATCGATCAAATATTACGAAGGCAAAAGCCAATTATTTTTTTATTTTTCTGGACGATGTTTCATTACGATGAAGTTTAAGAGTTTCATTGTTTTCTCTTTTTCGTTAAGCTTTAACGAACGACTAATCACTAGACCGCGGATGTGTGTGCAAATATAGTTAGATGTTCATAGAGCAATTTATAGAAACTGGTTTTAAAGAGAAATGTTTTTAATGTTTCCTATCAGACTCAAAATTGAATGTAAACCTGATTAACGTGATCCGTACCCTCTGGGTTATCGACAATTAACTTAACGTGAACTGAAGGTCACACGAAAACACGAGGGACACGGAATATATTAACCTTCTGTAACCAGATTGTCCAGGTTATCAACTTTTGTTTTTCACAAATGTCTTTTTTATTAAATTTCATCTTATAATGAATATGTACTCTTCAAAGTCACATGACGTTATAGAAAGTTGAAACTGTTCTAAGGTTTTATCTTTGTTGAATTTTCAGTAAATCGCGTGTTCTAAAAATGCATTAAATCCGCAGTCTAATTGTAAAACTTTCTTTGATCATCATCCCTAGAAATCCAGCTAACTGGAACGTTTCGTTTACGCAATATCAACATTGGTTACCCTTGTTCTCGGTACACGAAGGCCACCGTCATTTCTTGGCACGAAGTAAAACCGTATCTCAGGGCGATATTTGATGGCAGGTACGAGATGAGATTATTATAGGTGCATTGACAAGCTAAACCTTATTCTAAGCTCGGTGACGAGCGTGTAACTGTATGGACTTTGGGAGTGGTATGCAACAGAGGGACTTGCCTACACAGCGACGGAGCATCGATACTCGAATCAACAGCAATGATATGCAATCTGGGAATGATTGAAATTCGATGGAATGTATATTCGAGGAAGAATTAATATAAATCTTCTTACATTCATTACGAGAACAATAAAGACTAATTATACAACGAAAAATATTGATATAGAAGAAAAATACTAACAGCAGGATTAACAGTTTGTCATTTTTAGTTAATACGATTTGCATTATTGCAGATGGAGATTCACAAACTGAGTTATTTCTTCCTTTCCAAAGTACGCCTTAACTCCTTATAAAACGAGGAACTAACAGAATTCTTGTACCAAAATCTACAAGACAATTCGACGAAACCGATAACCAACTGTTACCAGATGCAAAATTATTCCTATCGTAAACTATATAAAAATTGTCATTCGAAATGTAAATGCATTTAGTAGAAATCAGGAAGCTCGAAAATAAATACACAAATTATTGCTGCAGTCTTGGTCAAAGTACGGGAAGAATATCATTTTGAGCTATAATTCTCTAAATCATTCCGAAGGTCTACCTTCCCAAGTATAAATCGTGTCATATCGTACGCTAGAAAACAATCAAATAGCGAATCACCCGTCGGGGTATTCTTGGAATCGAAACCATTAATTCGAATCTAAACTATCGTAGAATCCTTCGGATCATTATACCTCGATCCTTCTTCTTGCAACCATCCGACAAAAATCCCTTAGGACTTCCCGCGCAGGAATTGAACATCTTAAAGAGAGATTCTTCTCGACGATCCATCTGACACGCTGTGTAGGTGGCCAGGTAGAAGACGCCGGGCGTCCTCTTTGTGTCGATCGCTCTAGTCCGGGGATCAACAATGGGCGTCGTGCGTTGAAGGTTCCACGTGCTGGCAGTGTCTCTTTATCATATATAGCGTGATCGTTCGTTTCTTTCCCTTTTTCTTTCTTCGTTTTTTGTTCCTATATACTTGTATATATATAATATATGATTGTGGGTGTATCTGTGTGTGTGTCTCTGTGTACGTGTTACAGGCCCCGTTCGAGAATTAGCCTGGGCTGCTAATATCCGGCCAGATCGGCGAACGTCTGGTCCATCTCTTCGGCGATCGCTTTGTACTTACAGCGCTCGTTTACCACCACGTCTGCAATGCAAAAAAGGGAGGGAACGTGGTATTAGTCGGACAGTGTATGTCGTTATATCAGTCGGGATTCGCTATAGAGAGAAACGAAATCATTTAAATCAGTAAAGGAATCCAAGAGTGGTTTGGATTAATAACGTAAACATGCGAGTTGTTTAAACATTTATCACTGTGTGTACCTTCTTAATACTATAACTTATACGATCGACTATTTGGGATGGTTTAGTTTCATTAGAAAGAGAGAGAGAGAGAGAGAGAGGCGTTACTAGATAGATTAGTAGATGGACTGAGGAACAGTTGTTCAAGCTTCTGTCATTGATAGGTTTACATACTTTGTTGAATATACCCTTGGTAACTGTTAAAATTGTACATTTCAATAAACTTTCACGTTTATTCGCTGATAGGACAAGATTTACAGATTAGTTGGTATTTCTAGTAAATCCAGATTCAGGGAGGAAGAAGTTCGATGGAAATTTTCGAATAGAAGCGTCGTTATGCGATTTGTAATACTCTTTTATTATGATATAATCTCCGTTGGATCGAACAATGGGTACTCGAGGTCGGTAATCCGGTGATAGAGTAGAAAAGAAATTGTTTCTGGGCTCAATCTTTATTTGCCTGTCTGTCTGGTTACATGGATCGACGTTCGATATCCGTATGAAAATCCCGTGTCGTCGATTAAAAAGGGGGGGGGGGGGGGGGGGGGATAATAAATAAATAAACAGTGACTCGACTACGATTTTAGATCGAAGGGAATTGAGTCGATTAATTTACAAAAAAGAAAGAAAAGAAAAAAAGAACCAAGGAACATAACATATGTACTGTGAACGGAGTCGTCGTCGATGAACAAATAAAAAATACAGAACACCCGGAAATCGCGAAACGTAATTATTGTTTTTTTTTTTTTAACATAACGCAGTGATTGTTCTCTGTTCCGTTTTTAATTTACAATAATAAAGTTACACGTAGCGGGTCGGCCGGTTCGGTATTGTGACCACGATCGTGAGTGTATCCGGTAGTATAGTTTTTTTGTGACGAGCGGCCAACGATCCCTGACAGCCGCGATGGACACGTTCGATCGCCGACTATCAATTAATTCTTCTCGATCAATTCGGTGAAAGTAAGGTCCAGGTCGTCGCAGATGTATTTGTACTTTTCTTTCTCGTGTACGAGCTCGTCTGCAAGGAAAAACGTTTATGTTAACGATTTGTTCGTAAAGCGAAGATTGCCCAGATAGTCTCACTTTTACACTTAACACCGTAAGGGTAATCTGTATATCCTAGAGAAACAAATATATACATATATCCCTCCACCATATTTCTGGATCACATGGAATATGAAAATGCGAATATTAGAATGACGATGAGAAGCGGATTTCATGCCTTCGTGAACGATAAAATAGTGTGAAACAGAACTCATTAAGAGATTGTGAAGATCAAGGGTACTAGAGTAATTTAAAATATTTAATATATTTTGTGAAATATAGGAACCGAAGGCAAGAAGTCCCCACGAGAAAAATGCAAAAATGATACTCGTGAAGGTCCCGTAATGGGAAGAGTATCCGAGTAAAAATAGCTCTATCATCGTATCTATCTACAATTCGATCGTTATCGGTTGCGCGACAGCCAACGATAAGATGCTCTCGCGGATAAGGCAGTCGCGGACGCGTTAGACAAGTCATACACGGTGAGGTTTATCCTCGAGGCCTGGCCTCATGAGGTCGTTTTACATTAGGGGAGCTGGATTTCTCGAAGCCTCCTTGTAATCTGTAACAGGATGATAGGAGCTGTTCCGAACGTTCGGCACACCTCTTACCATCCTGTTACAGATTACAAGGAGGCTTCGAGAAACCCAGCTCCCCTAACGTGAGACGACCTCATGAGGCCAGGCCTCGAGATAAACCTCACCGTGTAATCCGTGTATGGCCTGCTTTAGAAAGCTTCAGTCGTTAGCGGCGAAGTAAGTGGGTTAAGAAGCTCTCGCAAGTAACTTACGGATCACGTTTGTTAAGAGCAAGCGAGACTGTGAGAAAGGTATGATTATGAAATTGTTGTCTTTTTTTTTTTTTTTTATCAATCGAAGCGTTAGAAGGGTTGGTTAGTCGGCTCGTTAGACGCCGTATAGCTCCATGAACGCCTGATCCAAGCCGTCCCCGACCTCCTTGTACTTCTCCTTCTCAACCACCATTTCATCTGCAAGCATTCGCAATTGTTATTTCGTAACCGTATCGCAAACACCCACTTCTGTTGTAACGTTTGCTCCCGTGTCCGGGCAGATTCGAGAAGTGTAGCTTTGGATATGTAGCATCGACCAAGCGGTTAAGTAAGCTCTGTTCGGAGATAAAGCGTTGTCTCGTGGACGGGAACGGGGATGCGGAGGATTTGAAGCTTTGTATGTATTCAGAGATGAAAGTTTTTAGGGATGACGTAGATATGAAGCTTGGTGTTCTTGGACGAAGTGAAGATGTAAACTGTTCGATTGTGAGACATCGATGTGATTGTTGAAAAAAAAGAAAAAAACTGATCATCGACAAGATTATTGAATAGATGGTAGATTTTTTTTATTATTTATACGACTGAAATTTGTTATCTAAAAAATAGGCTATTTGCAAAGTCATTAACCATGATAATTATCGAGGGGAGCATAAGATCTATCTGGTCATTCTTAGACTATACGATATTCCATTCGTGCATTATTCTATACAATTTAGATTGTCTACGGTGTCTAAGTTTCTCTAATTAGCTATTCAGTAATATTAAACAAGACTACTAACGTTGGTTTCTTACGACTGGCTATAAGAACTGAAACCGCCTAAGGGTTATTTCTGAAAGCATGTTGTTAAAGTTCCATCACCACGCATTGAAATCGCCAATGTGGGCGCTTAACGAACATCGTACATGACAATTCTAACATTTTACCATAAATATCTTTCCTGTATCATATATAGAAATATTATTCCATCACCAACATAATTTTCCTAAATTATGCAATTTCTCGTTTTCATATGCAATATCAAAATCTAACTTTTTAGGTGAACTAAAAAAAAAAGTTAGGGGACGGGAGAACAAAATACCGGAAGTAGAAGGACTCGTGCAAGGGACACGGGTTCACTATGAAATAGTAGCCAAGAAAAAAAAAGAACAAGCAATATTACTCACCGTTGTCTCTTCGATACGTACCACAGACGGTCCTCGGCGTTGTACGAGGGCATGCAACAACTACACACGGCTCTCTAACACAACGGGCAGCGGTTTTTTTGTTTAATTTCGCGTAGAACGCGTGTGGATCGGTTTGTTAACGTAGCCAAAGGGGGGGTTTAGGGATGGAACGTTAGTTCGTGACCGATTACAATAAAAACGCAACAACAAAAACAAACGACACACTGTTTTTTCAAAATTAAAATATATATTATAAACAGTTTTATAATAATAGCAATATATATAATAATCATTATCATTACAATGATATTAGTGTTTATTATCGTTCCATTCGTTTTTTTTATTAATATTAAGTAAATTAATAAACTAAAACTCTCGTGAACTCAAGTATCTGCGTTTACTTTTGTAGTAACAAAAAAAAAAAGATCGTGTATCGTTAACCGGTAAGACGCGTGGAAATAATATCCGTTTAATTATTGTGCTTTTACCTTTCGTTCTCGATCGTCGTGCTCGCGGCACACGTGTCCACCGTTCTCCTCCCAGTGTCTTTCGGAGATATATCTCTGTATTAACGGTAAATTAACTTTTCGACAACGATTTCGCGAAATAGCTTAAACATGATTAAATAAAATGGCTCTTGTTCTGCACGATTGGATACGAGACAGCCATATCGGTCTTCTATAAATATTGCACAAGGTGCGCTCGAAACTTTACGTTACAGTCCCGTGTCGACTGAATTTCGATGATAATCTGTCTTGCGAAACACACTGGGGGAGAATACTCGTCGCGAGGTGGGGGGAAAAAAAATCGCCACGACGAAGGATCATCGAAGGTTCGGAGAACCGCGTGGATGGGTGGCGGTCCTCGGGCAGTTTGCACGCCGCCTCTTTGAAATCGATCGTTTCGTCCCGCGATGACAAAGAGGTGGGGGGAAAAGATTCGCGCGATAAGTCACGTGGAATGGGCCAACGATAGGAATGATACTAATTAACGGCAGCGATAATGAATAATACGAGGTCGAAATTACGCTTCGCGATGTGGAAGTTCTTTCTTTCGTTTTCTTGTTCTTTCGTGTGTTCTCTTTGTCGGTGATTTTTAATATGAAATCGCGTTCCCCCATCTAGAATAAATATATACCGGGGGCACTATCGGTGAACGTCGAGCGGAGAAGACGATCGTTCGCGTCTGACGATCGTCCCTCCGATCGTTAAATGCAGATACACCGTCGCGCGTCCAGGAATGCTCCGCGATCACAGGTTTACGATCCACGCCGAGAAGCTAATCACAGCGAGACCCAGCGCTGGATCGTCTCGCAGAACGATCTTTTTTTCTCGCTTGGTACAGGTTGACGGCCTAAAAGATGGGGTTCGAACCAGACGCTAATGATTCCTCGTGAAAAATTAGAGAAAAAACGTAGCAAGAAGTTTTTTCGTACGAGCCTCCGTTCTCGAGATAATCGACTTCGAAGGTTCGAGCGATCTACGGAGCATGCGCGGTGCGCGCTGTGCACCTTCGAGATCGAGTTTCTCGAGAAGGAAGAATCGTACGAAAAATTCTGATACGACATTTTTCGTGTACTTTCTCGAGAGGAATCGAATAGCGCGCTTGTTTTTCGTCGTACCTCATCTTCTGGCGAACTCTGTACATTTATGGAGATGATTTAGAAATGTACAAAAGTTGATTATACACGATACGATGTGTTTGTAATCTCACGCCTGTCAGTATTATCAATGAAACTTCAGTACGAATTTTCGTATGCAAGCCAAGCACTACGTTTCGGCTAGCTAATGAACACACTATCTACTTTATTCTAATAGAAGAATCGTGGGATCGCCAAGAATTACTTTTATCTTGGGACTGTAACCTGCGACGAACCTTCTATATCTCGCCTAGGAATGTTGGCAGTGAGCGTATTTAAAAAAAAAAAGACAGAAAAATGGAAGATTATCAGTGATAAGGGGAAGAAGCGAGGATCCTTCTCGTGATAGTTTGAGCCGTCAAGATTGCGGAATGTAGGCGATGAGAAGCCGAAACCTCTCTTTTATTCACCGAGGAACCCACGACCACGGCTCTACGTCGGGAGAGAATTTCTTCTCAAGGTCAAATCGGTCAAATATTTTTTAACCGTAGCGTACGTTGCTGCGTGTATCGACTATTTTTTAAAATAAAATCCCTCTGAAAGTTTACACTGATTTCATCAGATTTATTACGACTGGACTGTGGACATTTATGCAAATTGTTTATCAACTGACCTATAAAAACAGGAGTAAAATAGAAAAATACTCTCTTAACGAGTGATTCTGTTAGACAAAAAAGAGAATACAATCTACGTTGAAGACAATCTCCATATTCGAGCTGTCGTTGGTCCCGCGAGGAATCAAAAAATCTTCTTAATTAATACGATTCCGTTCAATTACTACAGAACTAGACGATCACGTGGTCGAAAGCACCGAGGGCCCAACCAAGGGCTAACTAAAGGCCCAATCTTTTAGTCCCCGGCGGGGAACACCAAAGTCTCATTGTTAATCATGAAAAGCCGCGCGGCGTGTCTATCGAGGGAACAGCGATTTGCAAAAAGGAGAAACCACTCGGACGTGTTGTCGGCGACAAACACCAAAAAGAACAGAAGAAAAAAAGAGCATCGAGGGCAAAGGGAAGCAACCATCGGAATCGTCCCTTTGACGCAACCCCCTACCTCATTCCTCTTTCACTCTGAACCCGTCCGTTCCTCGACGCAATCATCATCGTCGTCATCATCATCATCATCTTCTTCGTGTCTCGTCAGAGTCTCACTTTCACGCTCGCAGAACACACACACACACTCACACACTTAGCAGGCATGCAACAATACACACACGCACACTGGAGGAGAGGCATACACACGAGAAAGAAGTGCGCAACCGGCTTGTCACTGATACAATAAGGAAATTGTGGGGGTGGGGCGGGAGATATGAGTCTAGCCTAAAAGAGGCTGCGTGTGGTTTTCATGTCCGTAAACTGTTAACGGAAGGGGGGTTCGGGTAGAGGTGTGCACCGTACACACGAAAGCGTCGCACAGCGTGTTTCTCTCGAATCGTTTTTCTCTGTCTCCGTTACTTCTCGTTTTGTGTTGTGTGTGTTTGTGTGTTTTCGTTCTGTTTTTTTTTTTTTGTTGATGTTTTATTCTCTTTTTTTCTCTCTGAGTCGTGTTTCTGTTCCGACGCGAGACACGATCTACATGTTCTGGATGTCATGCAGGGTGGCTTCCATCTCCTCCTGGAGCAATTTGTTTTTCTCTCTCTCGGCGGCAAGGTCGTCTGGAAAGATTATTTGTTAGAGGAAGCGGACACACGCCAAGCCACGCTAAATTCGCCGAGCAAAACTGCAGTCCACGGGGTTAGAGAATTGAAACAGGTGGGGTTCAGTGGAATGCGTACACACGTCACGCGGTTAAATCGTCGTTAAAGTCGGTTTCGCTGGTGATCGTTGGTGTTAGATTCTTTTGAGGGTTGTTATGGGGTTCGTGATTTCTCGCAGGAAAGATTTTATTTGTATTTTCTTTCAATTTTTCTGGAGACGACAGGGTGTGCTTTTTTTTTTGTAAAGAGAAGATGAATCAGTTGATTGGCCTGGTGCTCGAACTTTTGATTCTTAGACGAACAATTTCATAATAAATTATGAAGTTCATAGTAAATATTTGTTTTTCGCGCCACGAAAAACGCAAATATATCATCAAGTGTTACTAATACAATTAAAATGGTTAGATATAAAATATAACCAACTACCCTTAGTTGATTGATTAAAGGTGGAGGTGGTTTATATTTCACTTTTCAAATAAAACTTCAGGTACTTGGACCACCAGCTGTTTCGTTTTCTTCGAGGAGAGAACCAGATAAAACGGAAATGAATGTTTATAATCAGTTCTAGGTGAAATTCTTGATTTTGGGTGATAGTTGAAGCAACTTCCCCTTTGGAAGTACTTAAAAAAGAAACTCTTTATCTAAATAATAGACTCCGTTAGATACGGAAAATTTTTCAAGATATTAATGATAATCACTTACTTTTACGAATGTGGATGATTTGATAATAAACATTTACAACGATCCGTAACAAAATTTCACCTTTGACTCATTTAAAAATCATGTTCCTACAACTGATCCTCTCCTAGTAAGTTTGATACACAAGCTGTCGTCTAAAATGTTAGTAATTTTTGGTCCTACAAAGATGAATATTTCTATGAATTTGAAAAGGACAAATCGTTGAATGAACGTCGATGAGTCCCTAATCAATTACCATAAATGTAACTTCAGTTTTCATATACTGCTCCCTTCGATTTTGCAGTTCTCTCTCTCTTTCTTTCTGAGCTTAAAGGTAAACTGCGTTAATTTCTACTGCACGAAAATCGAACTGAAAAACTTATGAAGTAACGAATATAATGTGACCTAAACTATGTTGGAATGTTTAAAGGGTGTCTTGTGGTGGCTAAGAAAGTAAAAGTTTTCACAACTGAAAATCTGTGACGTTCAGTTGACTAACGGTGTGACAAGTGAACCGAATAAAAATAGCTGACTGAATACGCACCTTCGAGCCTGTCGACCTCCTTCTGGAGTTTCTGCACGGATCTTTCTGCGAACTCAGCACGAGCTTCAGCCTGTATCACAAAGAATATATTAGTACACGTAATGAAATCTCCTCGGTGGTGATTTGTCGTCGATTTTAAAATTCTGCGCGACAATATCTACGTGAGTTCCTCGTGCATACGTTTGTAATACATATTTCGACTGCAGATATTTACTTGATTGTACAATTTTATAGGCGTGAATGATTTTAAATGGAATTGAATCTTTATCGAATAAAAAATTCTATCGGATGAATTATCAAACAAAGGTTGCATTCTATACTTCATTAATGTTTTATTATTTCATTATATCTTATCACTTGCTTTTGTTACAAGTGCATAAAATCTGCAGTCTGGTAATAATTTACAGAACGTATTACGCATACGTAAATCGTATTCAATAAAACTAATTGTATCATATAAATTATATATATTGAAATATTCGAAATTAAAAAATGACTTTACTTTTTTTTTTAAAATCGACAGAATCAGAGTAATTTTGATAATAAATCCTTATTAGTAAACTCTTCTCGTTATGTCTTATTAGTAAGCTTCACTACATGCTTCAAACTGATTTTGTAATATAATATAAATCCGTAGTTAGTTAATTGCACACGTTATTCAAATCTATCGCCAATTCAGACTTCATGGCAAAACGAATGCTGCGATACTCGTACCTCGTGGTTACAATCTCAGACGAGATCAATATCCTTCTATCCCTCGCAAAGGTTAATTAACCGCTAATTACAAAAATACTTCTGTAATTATCCGTATACTTATGCGTAATATGTGAAAACATCGGTAACGTCACTGAAACGTGAAAAGATGTGCGAAATACGAAGAGGGAATTGTACAAAGAGGAATTTACAGACTCTAATTAAACTACCGAAAGGTCTAAAATAATACCAAATAAATAATGAACACAAACAAAAAATATAATACAAAAAGAAAACTGACAATTTTTTTAGGTTTTTTAACCGATAAATCACGACTCTATTCAAATATCGCGCCTGAAGACTCAACTTCCGTTCATCGATTACTTACCTCCCTCAATTGCCTGTGCAGTATCTTCATTTGACCCACGAAATTCTCCTCTCTTTGTGTCGCCTAGTTTTAGTCAAGCGTAAAAAAAGAGAAAAAAACGAGCTCACGTTAGGTTTGCAAAAATTTCAAAAAGAAAAAGTCTGGATTAGAAAGACAGTGAGGGGTGGGTGAGTGTAGTCGGGGTTGTTAAACGATTCATGGATCTCGCGACGACAAATCACACATTTTGCAAAAACAGGATGCAGAAAACACTCTCAAAGGATCTGTACCTCCTTTAGACGAGTGGTGAGAGTCTTAATTTGATTCTTGTACTCCTCCTCGCGCTGGTTTGCCTATGTACAGTAACGTGACCATTATGAATCTCGAAATTATGGTTACATCCACCAATTATGGTTGTCTACACGCGTGATTATTCTACGATATTATCTGTACTTATTTACTGTAAGGGGAATAATACAAAACCTCTACCCTTCTCGTTACCAAGAGGAGTCACACGATAGGGTTTTACGTGTTACGTTAAAATAGGACACGCGTTTTCCCTCCGATTTCATTGTTTCGTGTAATAAGTCTAACAGCATGTAATTTTTTTCGAAGACAGGTTTCGCTGCATCGCGACCAGTGGGAACGAAATGCTAATTGACGCAACATGATGGAGGGAATTGTTTGAGGAAACCAGTCATGAAATGATGGGTCGTGAATAGTTCTGAAGCTTTAAGGGCTTGACTGTATCGTGGAGTTTATGGATTAAGAGCAATTCACAATTGACAGAATAATCTTGAAATATTATGTAACAACTTTATATAGTTAAGTTTGCGATACTTTCGAGTGTAAATAGATATTCAAACGTTCGTATAAAAACAATTCTTGTGTATTTTTGATTACCCAAATTTATCAACGTTTCCTGATTAAAGAATGAAACAAGCAATGAAAGTGGAACGTTTGTATCTAATGATTATGACCATTACATATCCCGATTGTTTTAGTAATAGTATATCTTTGGAATTACGTAATTTAGAACTGTATATTTGTGCATATTGTTTACAGGGCACATTTGATTGTAATTCTGTTTAACGTAATTGTGAAATTACAATACAGGATGATTTCAAATTTAAATAATCATACTTTATCGGTACATTTCGCGGGTAAAAAGAAGGAGAAACATCCCCTTGAATTTGTTTCTATTCCAAACCGCAGAAGATACCGACAAAGTTTGACCGTTTATTTTCGCGACACCCTGTATAGTAGAACCTCCGCGTTTATATCTTATCCAAACTGTGTGTTTTCTTTTTATTGGCTGATACGCCGGAGGTTCAGCACGTTCGTTAAACACAGCCCGACAAAAACGAGTTGCCCGAGAGCACGGGTGTATTTGTCGCTATTCTGTCGAAAGTGAATTCGAAAGGAGGAGAAAGTGAATAGAACATTTTTGTATACTGTGTATCGTTTCGTGGTGGTACTTACCTTCTCCTCGGAGACCTCGAGGGACTTCAGATTGTTGCCAACCACACGCAGTTCCTCCTCCAGCTCGACGATCTTCCTGTAAAATGAAATCGACGGTTAGTGTATCGTGTTCCCCGATCGTCGGTCGGTTCCTACCTGAGCGTGTTTTCTTTATTCGGGACGAACACCTTGGTTTTTTGCATTTCATACAACGTTTACTACCGATTCAAATAATCGCTAATAAGTATAATTTCTCACCGTGAAAATTTATGTATACTCTCGAGACTGATCGGAATTTCAAAAATAAAACGTTCCACGAATCAGTGCGTTTTTTCACTACAAATTAGTCAACCTGGAGTTATCTGTACTACTTTCTTATTTAATATATACGATCCGGAGAAAAGTAGCAAAAGGGGACGTTATAAATGCATAGAATCTGCATGGTTAATGGTCAGTGTTTAAAGTAATTTTTCAGTCTGCACTTTCTTACTATTAGGGGTCACAGCGTTTAATAATTTCGTAGTTACTGATCCGTGAAGCTTGGCGAATTTGAAATATAGAAATGTTCAAAAAAGCTATTTTTTTTATGGTACCGCGTACTTTTAGTATCACTCAGTAAAAATTATTCTCTCGATCGAAAACTATTTCCGATACTACTTGACAGTATTGTTATATTTGTTTATTTTTGACGATAGTTTGTTTCGCGACCAGTGTTCGTCCCTGTAAGAAAAAAGCATGGAGTCGGACAGAAAAGGAGACAAAGGGTCAACGAGGCATGCGCAAACTGAACCACCTACCCTTCCGAAAGTTCCGCCTTCTCCTCGGCGCGCTCGAGATCCTGTTCCATCATGACTAGTTTTCTGGCGACCTGTGATCAACAGCCACACACGTGTCATGCGAAAAAAAAACGAAGCAAGGATACGGGAACATAAAACAAACGAAACAGAGATGTACAAAAAATAAAAATCGTTTCGTGACGCATGCAAACGTCGTGGAGTCTCCATTATCCCTCTCGGTCCCCAAGAATTCTGCTGAAAAATTTGTACAATCTGGAAACCTGTTTCGGCTATCCAAGAGAATCACTACTATGGTGACTAATGGAAATACAAACAACTATGGATATTAAATAATACATCTTCATACGTACAAACTACTCCCTTTAGTCTACTCTATATCTAAGTTCTATTCTCTTGGATGTGGAGCCAAAGGGAAATCTACTTGTCCTATGACTTAGCTAAATACAGTGAATCCTTGATGAGTGTTTGAAGGCTGAACATGAAATATTTCATAAACTAATTACCATATGCGACTGAAACAAATATCATTGGCTTTAGAATTCCAAGCTCTATCACTGTGCTAAACCTTATTAAAAAGTCAGCGTTACACCTGGGAAGTTCTCTATGTCAGTAGCAAGGAGCCTTTGAACACTCATCAAGGATTAACTGTATACTGATCTTCTTAGCCCTTTGAATCAAGAGTCAGCCAATAATTCATGACTGTTCACACATCATTGACATTCAAATGGGTAAATCATTGAAATAGATCTTTAAACAATCATCCTATTAACCCTCTGTACACCGTTCAAGCAACTAATTATACTACCCTTCAAACTATAATTCCATAAAATCATTTTATACATTCCCAAATACCCCTCAATTCATGGTTCTAATCGTCCCAAACAATGTACAAAGGTTAAAAAATAACATATATAGCAGATTACCTCATCTGCAATTTCCCTTTAGCCAATAAATAACAAAAGTACCAAGTTCGATCGAGGTGGCAATCGCTTGCGTCCGCGATCGATCGTGATTCTCGTTAGCAACTCAGGAGCATCGGCACCGCAACGGAAAATAAACAAAATCACGCAGATTTTAGACACTCTTCCACACCTGGAGGGTTCGTTAATGTCGCTGCAAGGGTGGAAAAGGGGTGATGGTGACGCGTCGCGTGGTGCGACTTGATACAAAATTAAATGGGGTCTCTCGCATGACAATCGGGGGAGGGGTGCTGGTGGACAGCGAATGCTCAAAGAAAGGAACTCTTTTTTCTTGTTCTTTTTTTTTTTTAAAAACAATGCTTACGACTCTCCAGCCTCGGCACGTTCCTCGGCGCGTTCTAGATCAGCCTCAACCATGGCCAATTTACGGGCGACCTGTATTAAACGACACATACAGAAAACTGTTTCTCCTTTATGTTCTACGGGTTTCGTCTCTCCCTCTCGCGCTCTCGGTCTCCCCCCGCCAGGCCTCTTTCTCACATTTCTTTGGCTCGCCGTCTGGCCCCAGTATCTGGGCCAAGATCGACGATCTAGCCTTTGGATCCCCCCAGTCGGCTAAGTTCGCCGATTCCATCTCCTCGACTGGAAGAATTCGCGTCTCTTGGAATACCACGGTGTGTCTCCTTATGCGTACGATTCGTTGGATGATTCGAGTTTTTTTCCTGGTCGAGTCACCTTTATCGCGGTTCTGACTGACGATTTCTGAACGAGACTCGGAAAACTCGCGAGTTTGGTGGAAACTGGGGACTCGATCGCGCGGAAGTTCGCGGTGCAAAGTGGAAGGTGCAGTCTGTTGCTCGGAACATTGTTCGATAAATGATTAAATGTGGGTGTAAAGGCTGCTAGAAACAGAGGCGATATAGAAACGTGAATAAACGAAAATGAAATAAGGAATTGAACAAGATCAATATTTAATTACTTGTTTATTTTAAGAACTTAATTTACCCCGTTTTATATATAATGTTTATTCACCGGTATATGTTCATTTAGTGGTACATCTATCCTATTAAATCTTACTGAAGTAGATATTTCAGATGTATGTCCGTATCTATTATGAATAACAAAATCTGTACTTCCATGAAAAATGATATTTCTAGAGTAGAGAATTATTTTGCCTATATTCAATTTTGTCTTGTTAAGAAATAACAACCTTGCTAATGAAGATCGTAAATTTTCAAGAATTGTTTTTTTTTTTTGTAAAATATTAGATGAGTCACGTCGACAGTCTCTCGATCTCCCACATTCCATCGCAAAAGTCTCCAGCGACGAACGAGTCAGCTCGCGTCGGTTAAGGGGTTAATAGTATTCCACGTCCTTACGCATCCCATTGCGCGATGGAATCGCAAATATTGAACCAGTGAAACACTAACCGCGAAACGTGCTTCGCACGACCATTCTCTGCTCGAGGAGCAAGGGAACCGTGTTTCGTGTCCACCTCCGCGATAAAGGCTCGAGTGCATAAAACTTGCATTCCTCCGCCGAGAGTAATCGATTCGATGGGTGGCCAATGTGCCGTGCAGACCCAATGAGGGTCCCTTTCCGCGCACAAAGTCCCAAAATAGAATAATATTGAGTCGTTCGGTGAGTGCACAACTTTACGAACGCCGTGTCTTCATCTTTTTACCGAAGGTATAAAGAAACGACTGATCCAGTGAGCATTGTTTTATGAAATTTATATACTGGGTGTCCGATAAATCGAAAATGTAAAATAATCTTTCATAGTTTTTACTATCCTCTAATTTTGGGTTTCCATCGAAATACTCTGAAAACACATAAGATGCAAGTTCGAAACCATGAACCGTAGTTCCACTATTGGAAATGCAACGAGCACACTCCGAACGGACTCGATATATTCTGTGGTTCTTCTGTTGAACTTACGAGCACGAAACGAGGATGATCCTTATCGAAATGGTCTTCCAGTCGCGGAGCGGAGCCTGCGAGGAGGACCGTCGAGCGGATAAGTACGAACGCGATGATCTCCGTTTATTCCTCAGAGATCGGCACGTACGAATGGAAATCGTCGGTCGAGCACGACCGGCGGTGGTGTAGTGGTCGTAAAAAAATCGAAGAATTCACGTCGTCCTCGAAATCAATAGCAAAAACGAATAACATAAGCCGTTTGGTTCGTGTCGATCGAAAACGACCCTTCCATTTGTCTACGACGACCTTCCCACGCATGCAACCGGTTCTGGACGAGCGTTGACGCAACCCCCCCGTCGGAAAAATGGCTTTCCACGTGCAATTTCACTCGATAATGAATTTCCATATACGCTGCCACGGACACGTGAATGGATGGACAGAAGGTATCGCTGAAAGGGGGTTTCAATTGACTACGGTGAAATGAAATTTATCGAGCTTTGGAGAACGACCCTTTGAGGAAGGACGTCGAGCTATTATCGATAATATGCTTCGACTGTCGCGGAGTGTATCTGATTTCGTTTGTGAAGCGATGATATATCGTTGTTCCAAGTATCTGGAATTGTTTTCATTAAACGATGTTGACGAGAAAATTGTTCACTAAAGGTATAGAATCTTTCTGAAATAAGTGGTACAACTGTAGGGGTGCAATATTTGCTATAAAGTTTACATGAAGAAATTGTTGGGAATAGTAGTACAAATCTTTTGGTTATAGTGATGGAGAAAGAAGAAATAATTACGTAGTAAAAAAGGAAAATTTCCAGATACTCATGAACACCTTTTATCCATGTAGTGACTTGTCAGCTACACGCTACACTTAAGAATGTAAGATACAGAAAAGGTTAAGGAAATTAAAAATTAAAAGTAGGAACGTTAATCGACACTCACTCCTTGATTTCGTTCATCTAAATCGACTATACTCAGACACTTCCATTCCCAAAGATTCGAAAGATTGATCGATTCTTCTCGAATGGCTCAAGAGCCACACTCAAAGTGAATGTTTTCACCGATCGTCCATCCCGATGATGTAACCCGAATAAATTTGCCGCTTAACGAGTGATTTGCGTAACGCTCGCGCATCTCCAGCGAACGATAAGCGATTATCGAGAGAAGTAAAACGAAAGGAAAGGAATGATCACACTCGGTTGCTGTTAAATCTCGCCTCCGGTGATCTAAGCTGCAAGAATTTTTGTTAGATCGTTAGGACAAGCAAACGAGATTTTTGTCGGTATTCCCGACACTCCACTGCAATCGAAACGTTAATTAACAGCACACAGGATTAGTTATAAATTCCTACGATTAATTAACAAACAAATTGACTAGATGCTCCTAATTGACTGTTAAGAGCAGAAATTCGTACGCGGGGATCGGTTTCTGGAGCCGCGTCGACGTTACAACGATTTTTGATATTTCGTGAAAACACGAGAACTAGATAATCATTCGTGTATCGATCGTAGTGAAACCGCGAGGCGGCAAGTGGCACGAAACGACGAACAATTCTGTTTTCACGTTGTCTCGAACTTTCTTTTCTGCCCGTCTAACGCCACCAACTGTGTTAACATTACGTGTACCAAAGCTGTAATCCATTCGTGCTTATCGTTCCGTTTCCCCACGTAAGTTACGTTCGGTATTATAATTTTATTCCATGAAACGGAAATCGAATTTCTATGGAAAAAAAATATTGGGTCACGATAATATATATATATATTCGAATTTTTAGACATGGTAGAAGAAAAATCTATAGAAAATGAGGTTGCAATTAAATTTCGATGGATATGGGCTGAATTGTAATCGAAATAATCAACTCTAAATTACAAATTCTAATGATTTAAAGTGTTAATATTTTATAATCGTTGTAACATCGACGTGACCACGCGGTTGACACCTACCATAACGGATGGATTTGGGTTCGAACATATCAGAGCTACGTTCCGAGTTCCAGCAAAGCGTAAAAGAGGAAATCTTTGGACAAAAGCAGCACCATTATTGTAACAAGACCTCAAACGGGTCCTGTTCTCGTATCACAACACAGAGTTAACCATATCTCGGGGCCAGTTTCTATTAAACCGAACCGAACACGCGGACCAACAACATCAGCGATATTAACGAACGATCGAGGGATGATTTTGCACGGCGTAAAAACTTTTAATAATTTTTTCCATTCTCTATCTTATTTTTCATTATTTTCTTTTTTACGAAACTGGCACTTGAGAAACTTATTTCGATTTTTTTTCCGTCTCGTCTGTCGCTCCTCTTATTTCAACAATATTTTATCCCCCGAATCTAAATCCCGTGAACACTGCACTTGTTTTTGCTATCGAACAATCGTCACACTGCTCGACGAAATCACAGACGATCGATATATTTATACTCACGATTTCCCTCGTTTCTTTCGAACACTTTCTCTCCTTTTTTTTTTTAAATCGATGGCCGGTGATATATTGTTGGATACTCGAAAAAAAAAAAGATCGGTTCACCAGTAATTTTGTTTTTGTACGATTGAATGGTATCGAGTAATTTCGGGAACGAATTACGATCGATCGTTGATGGAACTTCGATCGATCGGGACGCGCGCGCACGGTTGAATATGTACAGGGCCACGGCGGTTTCGAACACACAGAGAGAAGACAGAGAGTTACGGGGTTAGACACTATCTCGACTATCAACTAGAAACCATCATCGTCATGATCGTTATGTTTATCATTATCATTTTCACTGCAGCCATCACGCTTGAGATTCGTGGGCTCGCGAACCTCATCGTATTTCTTGTCAGCTTCTTCAGCTAGGAACCTGGCCTCCTTCAGCTGATTCTCAAGGGCGTCCATACGCTCTTCGTCGGCCAAGCTGCGATTCTCGAGAATCTTGCGGGCTCTTTAATAATTACCACAAAGAATCGGGATTAACATTACGATAATAGATGGCTGTGAAGAATAACGAGTGTCTTATACTAATATCGTGGCCGGTGACGATGACTGGGACGCTGTTCGCCTGCTACACCTGCTAAATATACCTGTACAAAGTACCTGGCGGGAGCAAATGGGTGATTGATTTTGACGAACCTTGGTCCATTTCAAAAACAGGGAACTGGTCCAATAATTGCCTGATTATTTTCTAATGATAAGTGCAATGTAAGCTGTTGAGAAATTTAAAAAAAAAAAAAGAGAAAATTCAAAAGCTGTTAGAAGTTAATCGAAGAGAATATAGAAAGTTGTGAAAGAATGTGTGTTTGTGAATTTATACGTTAATTATATTTACAGTTGCTAGACGTTATCTAGAGGTAAGATTAATTTCATGCATTTCTACGAATAACTGTGGATGAATCATTCCACGTATGTTATTTCTTCTGTGTCTCGAGAATTCAAAACAGGATCCTGGTTCGTCAAAATGATCAGCGATTCGTTCCCGACGGTGACAAACGGACAACTAAATGTCCAGTTTCGCAGTTACGTGACCCACCTCCTCGTATTTTTTATCCGCCTCCTCGGCGATCAGTTTAGCCTGTGCTAGCTGCTGCTCCAGCAAGGATACCCGGTCATCTTCCATATTGGTACGGTTTTCGAGTGCCTTGCGTATCCTAGCGATCGATTATCATTCGACATTTAGCATCTATTTAGTCGCCGTTGAAAGAATCGACATACGAATCTAGAGTCCATCGACTCTGAGCGACTAAGTTTCCGATAGAGTTCTTTGAACGTCACTTAACTTTAAGTCAAATTTTATAAAAAAAAAACTTATTTCTTATGAAAAATAATATGAACATCTCTGTCACACAGAACTGTAAAAACGGAATCGATTTTGTAGAACTAATCACGAAGTTTCCGACAGATTTATCGTAGATTTTTTATCAAAAAAACAAACTCAGTCTTCAATAAGTAGAACTTCGACGAAGTCGAATATGTCAGTGCAAGAATCACAGAGTTGACCGGCAACTATCAAGCCCCTTCGCGACAATAAACCACAAACACGTCATTCGGTTATCAACCACGATAAATCGTTTCTCAGTTACTCTATATATTCCGCGTGCAATCGCGTCCGATTTCGAACAGATTCAGCTACACTGGATATCCAAAGTCACGGCGCCGATAATCGACGTTTCTTATCAATATGACTATAATAATTGAAACGGAAAATTCTGGACAGGTAATCACGCGTGTTCTTTCAACGTCGAATTGTTAGTCCGATCGACAGCAATGTTACGTGTGTTCGATCGAAGTCGGAACGAAAGAGCCGTTAAACTGATCGAATTTACAGTTTGGAATATCACTTCGACGCGGTAATTAAAACATGACCAAGAACGTTGCTTTTCCATCGAGATTGTGACTCGAAGAAGTGAAATTCTAGCCAGCCGTACAATAGAATCGAGATTATTGAATTTACTGGTGTAACATTTGCATCATTTTCTAATTAAACACCCACTTCGCGGTATATGGAAACGCATGCTTTGTGAAATCGGTAATTACCGCTTTGATCACGGCCTCACGTCCCACCCCCTATAATCACGCCTGTGCGTGTATTCGATTATTGGATAAGTGTAACTCGTCCGCGTGGCTATATTCGACGGAATATTAGTCGCGACGTGATTATAATGCGTTATTGTGCGTCAACTTATTAATAGATCCGAGCGGAAGTACTTAACTTCGAGGAAACTCGCTCTTTCGACTCGACATCTTTGAACGTCCGACGTTAGTTTCGATTTTCTGGTGTTTCGTTCGTGTAAACGAACGCTGCTTTTTGTTAAAGTTATTGTAAAAGGAATCGTATACGTAGCAGTTATTAAGACATAAAGCAAAACAATTGAGGATGGACTCAAAACAATTTTGTGGGGTCTAAAAGCTTCCAAAATGTATAATTCATCGAAATTTTACTGTGTGAATTGCAATTCGTTTCTTCTTTGATGTTTCGATTTTACTGACGATCTTTACCATAACCCTTTTAGTATGTTAGAGCCGATATATTGACATTGTGGGTTTTTTTGAAAAATACCTTGAGTCGATATATCAGCTTTCCATTTTTTAATATAGTTTAAACAGATATAATGACACGTTATTTTCATTAAATAAATTTACATAGCTGAACATATGTTTACTGGATAAGGAATAATAACATTTTTGAAAAAGTGAAAATATCTTCATTTTTAAGAGAAATATGTGAATTTTAATAGATACCTTAAAAATCGCATAGTTTTCAAGGTATTTTTGAAAGGTACCCGCAAAACTTATAGAATATTCTAAGGGTTAAAGTAACATTTTGTTTGTCATACTGTAGTAGAACAAAGTAGATTCCTTTTACAATAGCCTTAGCCGAACTATCTGAAACCAATGTTCGATTTACCCTCCTACAAGGTTCAACTGTTTTATCGATCAAGGTAGATAATAGATATCTGCTATAACATCGAGGACAATTTCACCATTTATGAATCACGGAAAACAAACTTGGATCTACGATTTCCTCGATGCCACACATCTGTTTCAATATAGAACTCGAAATGAACTTACAACTTTTTCAGTATAAAATTTGGTCCATGAAGTGAACATCGATAAAAGTGCAAGAACTGGAGACTTTTCCAGTCTATTATCTGCCCATTCAGTAAAACAGCAACCGCACGTCGGCGACGTAAGTAGCCTCTTTATAAATATCCATTCAAGAGACGCTCATTAACGGTGCGACTGTCGAGCCGGGGCGTCATTAGACGGATATTTATAAAAATTACGTGGCCGCGAGCGCGCAACGGTCGTCATCGAGGAGAAATGAAAATAATGGTGGCGTCGTTTACCGTTCGCTCTCATCTGCGGCCTGCGACGCCTCTGCCAATTTAGCAGTGGCGGTTGCAAGGCGTTCCTCGGATCTCTCGAGGTCCTCCTCCAACAGTTGGATGCGACGATTCAGGGCGGCGACTTCGGACTCAGCCTGCAATAGACGAAAGAGATGGATTAATTAATTTCATTCGGAATGGATACGCTTCGACTGATTAGAGGGAGGATGAATTAAATCGTGGTTTTTACTCGACTGCATTTATCAAAGATCATTCGTGGTCTTTTATTGTCTGTTATTGTCTTAAGATTTTGTACAAAAGTCGCTGCTATGGCGACAAACAAAAGACGATAAGATAATAGATATTCTTCATTCCTAATATTTCAATTCTCGTCACGTAGTCTAATTTTATATGGAAAATACCCTCGATATATTTGAAACATTTTTTTAATACAGAAGTTAATAAGGTGACAGTGTAGTCAAGAGATTAGTTAAGAATTGCAAAAAATTTATGAAGATTCATACATAACGAACGTGTGCTTTTGAGTTTCTTATAAAACTGATACTGTATTGGTAAAGAATAATAAATCAGACATTGACCTCTACTTAGTATTTATGTATTTGACTAAGGATTTTTCCATTTGATTGGAAAATTCTGTTGACACATTATAATTTCAAGACTCGACGACCTTCAATTTTGAGCTGATATTGACGATAATGATTCGAAATGTAATACTGATACTGTATCAGTGCGTCATTAAATACTCGATGAAGATATCTGCAATGCTGACGTAATAACAGTTCAGTTCTGAAAGGACTTTATATCAGTAAGTATTGAATGCTATCAGCTGTAGGTGTTTGTCTAAGTTTCTGACTGAAATACAGTTCCTTTTATAAGATTCAACATAGAATTATACCTTACAATAAAAAAATCTCAAATAAATCCATTGAAAGTACCCCTTTCTGGTGTTTCAAAATTTTTTCCAAGGTACTTTCAGATTCGAACCGGACAAATGGATACAACTTTACACGCAGTCGAGTACAATGCAATTTTTCCAGCATCGTCGGTGCAACGATAATTCATAACGCATCGGTATAAGGTAACAATTATAATCCGAGCTAAGAACAAGCATACTCTTCCCCGTAAGATCGTACATCTGGTCATGTTCCTGAGCAGGATGTTACGTTCGAGTTATCATCGAAGAATTCCTCAGCTGGCAAACTGCAAGGCAGCATTTGCTGGCACATAAACGACCTAACAACGTTAAGATAAAAAGAAAGATACGGTATCTACGTTGACACAGACCGACCGCTTATTTTTTAAGTGATTCAGCCTCGTCGGATGCGACGATCTCGTTGGCACTAAACAAAGTACATACACTTCTTAACCCTCCCTATTGCTTTCGTGTCTCTTTGGAAATTGGACTCCAACTGGTGTTCCCATGTTTTTCCAGTTTCTTCTAATCTCCTTCCGTTCCTATTTCCTTAACCCATCGTTACAACCCCACCGTGATACTCCACTTCTTCCCAACCTAACTCTGTCCTTATTTCTTTAATCTTTCGCTACAATAACACTTCTTTTCCCACAGACTCGCCCTTATTTGTTATTAACACTTAATTGTAAAGTAAAATGTATGCCCTCAACTGAAGGCTGCGAGCCACATTCAATTCTCCCTCGGCCCATTGAATTAAGAATTCATCGTCAATTATTTTCTAACAATAAAAAAAAGAAGATAATTCAGTACGTAAACGTGCAACACGTGATTGAGATTCGTCAGAACGGAACACAGCCGTGACGAGAGAGATCGTCCAAGGTCTTCGCTCCGTTCGCATATCAATGACCCACGGCTTCCTTGAGCTCGTGCCTCGTCGCTCTCCAACCAGGTCTAATTGAATGGGTCACCGAGACCGCGTCACCAATTTTCACAGCATCCACGCGCCGTTCTTTGCATACAGAGAATCGTGTGCGCGTGGAAAACGGCGTCGTGATCGACGCAAAATTAGAGATCGTTTCTCGACGCGCGAATCACGTTCGTCGGGACTAACCGCGTCTATCCTGTTCAATTAAAACCAACGTAGTATATTTAACGCTCCGTGGATCCGATGTTTCGTTTGAGAGCAGATTCGGAATAATCTCGGTTAATTAAATGCAGGACGGTTTCTATTCTCTTTCATGACGCGATCCGCTGGAGGAACGCTCGCGATTTAATGCCGCTTTCCGCGGAAATCTAACGGGTGTACGTTTCTCTACCTTCCGGCGACTGTAGGAAGACGAAAAAGATTTCCTTAATTTTAAAGATTTGTTGGATGCATTCGTGCAAAACATCTACCCACTGGAGTATTTTATAAGATATATTCACGGGTGCAGTTTAATCAGTTAGAGTCAAAAATATTAGAAAGGATGGGTCTGGAAATTAAGCCTGAGAAATAGAATATTGTCATAGAAATAATTCACACATCGATTAAAAGAGATCATAAATATTAACTTCTAATACATTCAAAATGGAGTTACTTATACACAAATTGCGGAATTTATGTATTTCTGGTCTAAATAACAAAGATTACAAGCGTCTATATTTTATATCCAGCTTACTTTTCAATGATGAAATAATTTTTTTTTTGTAAAACAGTCATAAATGCAAATTCAATTCTTCCCCTTTTTTCGTTTACCTGAATCTATATATATTAAAAGAAATTTTAATACTACACAGTCAATTAATTGGAGAATGTTTCTACTAACACGAAAACACAATTTAATCCACGATAGAATCCAGAAACACGATTGCCTCGGCAATTAAACCATCACGAGTTCGGAGCAGTTACTCAAGGGACAATTTGGCCAGCGTTACGTCATCACGAAGCGAACCACGGGCCCTATTACAAATGTAAATTGCTTAACGCTCGATTACACGTGTATTGGTAGTAAGCAATTCGAGGCCCTTGTCCCCGTTAGCCGGGCTGCACCTGCGACGATTGTGTACCGAGCGAGTTCAATCCTAATTCATCGCGCGCGTTACCGAGCGTTACGCGCGCTTTTATGCACGTGTTACCGTTTCCCGGCCATGTATGAACCATGCATCCGGATCATTTGACACGCCTGCTTTTCCCATCCCAACGACACACGGGAAAATTAATCGAAAAGCATCGACCTGGATCGATTTAACGCGATCATATCTGGGGTGGGTCTGTAAAGATCGAAAGTAAATTAACTGGCACAGTGAATTGCTTTATGAAAAATTAGAATATTCATCGAAAAAATTAGTTATTTCTAGTAATGATCGTTCCGTATCATGAACTTGGTCCAAATTCAGTAGGGAGCTGCTAGTAGGGAAACTGCGAGAAATTAAGTCTCAAGCCACGAACTTATAGAATAAAGATATCATTTAGTTTTCGGAGTTACTGAAATTTATGCCAAATTAACATTCAATTTAACATTTATTTCAGTACTTGAAATAAATTTACTAAGTGGTAGGAGACTTTTCTTCTACGCCACTTTTTCCTTTACTGGAAGCAGAGTTTGCTCGAGAGGGTACCTATACATCATTGATACTTCGAGTTAAACGGCATGATAATTCAGTCACGGAAATTCAATCGCTACGTAGCACGATCTATTCCTGTGATTCCTGATTTACTGGACAATTAGTTGGTCAAAGCTGCGCCGCCGACTTTCCGCTCGATGGTAACCGACACGCCCACGCGCGCATTGCTGTACCCGAACAGGTCTCTCTCGTCGATAATATCCGCGGTAATGTTGGTAAGTGTGCCAAACTTCCGCACACGGATCACCCTCCGTTGCCTTCTATTACGTTCTGTTAATTCGACGCGATACACAACTGTTGTTGCTCGCGAATTACTGGGAACAACGGAGCGGATCGACTTGGAGAAATTTAAAAAAAAAAAAAAAAAAAAATAAAAAAACATTACGTAAATTAGTTCCTTCTTTTCTAGAAGTAAAAAATTAATGTTTCATGAATAATTTCAAGTTTTTTAGCCAGGGAGGACGAACTAGGTGGTCATTCGAGTTCGACTATAAGCACGAACGATATTTGCTTTATATTTGTTGGGAGACTAAATAGACGTGTCAAGTTAGTTTCATTCAATGAATTTCAATGATCGATAACTTCTAATGTTGTATCTGATGGTACCATTCCTAATATTCAATTTCCTTTACCCCCAGCATTTTCATGGTGCTTTGGCACATTAACTTCATTTGCATACAATTTCCATTAATCCTGAACCATCAAACACAGTACTCTACTTCATGGAATAAATTACATCCACCACGATGAAGGAAATCTTTCGCGTGTTTCACCTTTGTATACCCTCTATCCAATACAAGAATCTATGAAGAAAAAAACAATTTATTTCTATAAATCAATCGAACTTTCGCACGATCGCCACTGAGAAACATTGTTTATCTATAATTCTACCTCCACAGACGATTACCGCGAAAATCATCACGTGGTGAACGGATCAACGGTAGGATTGTTTCTAGTGAATCCTCAACTCGCCGGAAAATAGATCCAAAAGTGTCGATCGATCGGTTACGACGATTACCACGGACTTAAATAAACAAGTTTGTCGGCATTAACGCGGCCGGTTTCTTTATTAATAAATTCGCTCTCACGATGGAGTCAATCGAAGTACTCGATTATGTAAAACGGTCAATAAAGCCGCCGCCACGTGTCTCTGGCTCTCGGACGTAACACATCACTTTCACGATTCGCGCTAAATCCGTCGACGTCGGGGGCGAATCAATGGATCAGGAGGGGAACATTGTGTCTCGCCGGTGAGACAATAAACGCGATACGGGGCCGTGTGTCGGCTGGTTATCACGTTCTATTAGAGAGGAAAGGGAACGAAAAAGGAGTCCGCGACGGCAGTGCACTTCATTGCACGACGACAAAAGCTTGTTAGTGAAGCTTCACCGATCGCCTCTGTCCGCTGGCCTTTTAGGACCGACCGCGCGCCATAAGCTGGACGTCGTCATCGTCACGGAGGGATATATGTTGACATTTTTTTTTGGAACGTATCCAAGGTTAATCTCTATGACATAATCGGAAGCAACGTGTCCGTTATTGCTCCAGTTTCCTTCCAATGTTCCCTTTGTACACCCGAGATAGGTGCTCGCAATTGGAGCTTTTTGATAGCTGTTT